ATAATTTTTTGAATAATTGGCCATCCAGATTTGCCCAGAGCTGTGGGGTATCTCGGAACATAAGACTCTTGTTTTAAAATTAGAAATCTCCCAAGCAAACTGAGTTGAGTTAGTCACCCTAGTGCCATGCATTAAAAGGGGGACAGCCAAACATTTAAGGTTTGTTGGACACAGTCAGAAATGACAGTCATACTCAAGACTTGAAGCATCATTATGCCCCCTCTAGAGTGGGGCCATATAGAGACCAGATAGTAAATGGAATCCTGGGAAACATCTGGCTTTTTTGGGCCCACTGTTTCTTCAGATCTCTTAAGTGGTTATTTCCCTGGTCCCTGAAAGTATAATTGAGAATAACATACTAAATAATTGCTACAAGCCTCACATTGGGTTCTTGGCCTGCGGCATAAAGATAATCATAGAAGAGGGGGAAAGTATAAGTCTTTAAAATTGTTACACAAATTCAGCAAATATAATAAATCAAAACCAATATCACATCCCTAAGTGGATGGTGAAAATTAGTGCCACTCTCTTAAGAATCTAGAAGATGCAGAGTTTTTGGTCCGTATTAAATCTCCATCAATTCACCCGTATAGCCCTTGCAAAAACTGGAAGGATTCTGGAAGGTGAAAGCAGACTACTGCAAACTCAATGAAATTGTAATCCCAATTGCAGCAGCCATGCTGGATGTGATATTTTGCTACACTTGAGATCATTATGTTCTCAGGTACATGATGTAAATCCATTAATATGGTGAATGTATTCTATTCTGCTAAGGTCAGAAAGGGCTCTTGTTCACACAGAATAGGTTATATTATATATTTGCACTTTTGACCTAGGACTATGTCAACTCTCCTGTCCTCCAAATTATTTGAACATCTTGCAGAAGAGTACATTGATTTACTGCATCAATGCTGTTATGTTAATTGGGCCAGATGGGCAAGAAGTTGTTATCATAATCCTCGTTAAGACACAAGTGTTCTATGGAATGGAAGATAAACCCTACAAAGATTCAGGGGCCTTCACATTATTAAAATTATAGGGTTCCTATGAACGGGGACATGCCAGGATATTCATTGTCAAACAAAAGACAACTGATCACATCTTTTACTTCTCACCACACACACACACAAAAGTTCAACATCTTTGAGTTATATGGGTGGCATATTGCATTATTCTACACATGGGATTACTGCTGTGGCCCATATGCTGGATAATACCAATGGCTGTCAGATTTGGGGGGACCCAGAACAGGAAAAACTTGGCTAGGCTGCAAGTCTAGACAGTGGTATAAGCAGTTCTACTGCCTGGGCCATGCAACCTGGTAGACTCTATGGTATTAGAGGTATTGATGGTAGGTAAAGATGACCTTTGGAGCTTCTGGAAAGCCCAATATGGGGAATCACATGTATGTACCTGAAGTTTTGGAACAAGGCCATGCAATATACCTTTGAAAAACAACTCATGGCATGCCCTGGTGGAGATGGGGCACCTGACCATGGGATACCAATTGATTGATTATCTGCAAATGCCCGTCAGCAACTGGGGTCTGTCAGATAGATCCATTGCCTCACAGAGCTGGCAGCAATCCATCATAATACAGAATTGGTAAGTCCAGATGTGAACATGAACAATCTCAGAAGTTAAGATGCTTGAGCAGAGAGCCCAGACTCCCACGTAATCCACCAGTGTTGGACACTGCCCCTTCTTTGGCTCATATCTACAACAAGCTTACACAGAAGGAAAAGACTTGGGCTTGGTTTCTGGATGGGTCATCTGGGTATGTGGGTGCAATCTGAAAATGGATGGCAACTGCCATTGGTCAGATTTAGTCCCCAAATCTGCCTAACTCCAATGATGCTGGAAAGTGTAGTTTCTCAAATGTCTGGAAAGGAGCCAGACATTATTGGTGAGCACAAGTAACACCTAACACAAAAAGCATTTTTAGACTTGCTTTTCTTCTTTTCCTTACTGATCACCTTCTAAATGTTTCTTTAATTTGTCGAATATTCTCTATCTCTCCTTATGGTAGATGGGAGACGCATTGCCCAGACTGACCTTAAAAGACAGTGGCGAGAAAAAATTTTTCCAATGGACAACTTTTGGCAGTGCCTTCTCCCATATGTTCATCCACATGGCTTTACCCTAGACTTACTTGCCTACAATATTTCAATTTCTCCTCTTCTAGGCTCTAAACCACCCTGTCATATTATTCATCACTGCCCAGAAGTATGTTTTATGCTGATCTCAGTCCATTTCCTCTTCCTCACAAATAAGATAAATTTTATTCTTAGAAATCAGACAGGTTTTGTGCAATTTATTTTGCCTAATTAAAAAACTGAAAAATTATTTAACTTCTCCTTGTTGAGTCACCTAATTTACAACCCCAACTCTGAGCAAAGCTTGCTTATGTGGTCAAGGAATCATTACTGTATTAGCTAATTTCTACTCTCCTTTTATAATCATGAATATTTGGTATATTGTATATTACTGCAACAATAAAATTAAAATTAAAATTGCTAAATATTCATTAACCAGTTTGACTAGTGCAAGAATAGTATCCATATTATATCTTTCTCATAACTAAAACATGAATTTTATGGCATTATCTCAACTAGCATTCCAACTTTTTTACTGTTGATAGTCCTATATCTATTTTTTTTTCTAAAAGATTGTCTATCTTTTTTGAAGGGTTCTTTTAAAAAGAAGAGTGAAAAATAAGCAATGGGGAAAGGATTCCCTATCTAATAAGTGGGGCTGGGAGAACTAGATAGCAATATGCAAAAAATTGAAGCTGGACCCTTTCCTTACACCTTCTACAAAAGTTAACTCAAGATGGATTAAATACTTAAACATAAAACCTAAAACCATAAAAACCCTAGAAGAAACCCTAGGCAATACCATTCAGGACATAGGCATGGGCAGCGATTTAATAATGAAAACACTGAAAGCAACTGCAACAAAAGCAAAAATTGACAAATGGGATGTAATTAAACTAAAGAGCTTCTGCACAGCAAAAGCAACTATCATCAGAGTGAACAGACAAACTATAGAATGGGAGAAAATTTTTGCAATCTATCTATCTGATAAAGGTCTAATATCTAGAGTCTACAAGGAACTTAAAACAAATTTACAAGAAGAAAACAATCCCATTAAATGTTGGCAAAGGACACGAACAGATACTTCTCAAAAGAAGACATTCATGTGGCTGACACATATGAAAGAAAGCTCAACATCACTGATCATTAGAGAAATGCAAATCATAACTACGATGAGATACCATCTCATGCCAGTCAGAATGATGATTATTAAAAGGTCAGGAAACAACAGATGCTGGCGAAGTTGTGGAGAAAAGGAAATGCTTTTACACTGTTGGTAAGAGTGTAAATTAGTTCAACCATTGTGAGATATTGTGGCGATTCCTCAAAGATCTAGAAGCAAAAATACCGTTTGACTCAGCAATTCCATTACTGGGTATATATGCAAAGGAATATAAATAATTCTATTATAAAGATACATGCACATGAATGTTCATTGCGCACTATTCACAACGGCAATTGGTTGATTTCAGAATCAACTCAAATGCCCATCAATGATAGACTGGATAAAGAAAATGTGGTACATATACATCATAGAATACTATGCAGCCATAAAAAGGAATGAGATCATGTCCTTTGCAGGGACATGAATGAAGCCAGAAGCCATTATCCTCAGGAAATTAACACAGGAACAGAAAACCAAGCACTGCATGTTCTCATTCATAAGTGAGAGCTGAATGATGAGAACACATGGACACCTGGTGGGGAACAACACACAGTGGGGCCTGTCTTGGGGGCAGAGGGAAGAAGAGCATCGGAAAGAATAGCTAATGGATGCTGGGCTTAAATACCTAGGTGATGGGTTGATCTGTGCAGCAAACCACCACAGCACATATTTACCTATGTAACAAACCTGCACATCCTGCACATTACCCTGGTACTTAAAATATAAGTTCATGAAAAAAAATTATAAAATAAAAAAGGTGAAATATCTATGAGAACATAAATAATATTTTATTAACTGGAAAATTATTCTGCAGTTTCCTTAGCTCTCTCTTTCAAGACAAATAGGCTGATAAAATTCTGAATTGCTGACACATATATTTGGCCATCCATTTGTATGTCAGAAGCAAAACAAACTTTCATTCAATTTTCAAATGCAGCTCATATTATAATTAACTCTCAGTTACTGTTTCTGAACTACATTTTATTAACTACTTTGTTTATGATTAACCTCAATTTAATCACTTCTTTAAATGCAAACACTCTTTTCAGAGAATTTTGCTTGATATCTTCAAGATTTGTTTCATAGACCTATGTATTCCATTATTACCATGATAAAAATTATCATGTGATATTTTTTCCTTGTGACAGATAATACAAATCAATATAGCATCAATAATTTTAAAAACATTTGAAAAGAAACTGAGCCATATAATTTAAAATAAAAATCTAAGGGTTATATTTTTTCAAATGAACATTTTGAAACAATGGTTACTTTGAAAATAGAGCAGATTTACAATTACAGATCCTTCAATAATAGTGATTGTATTGGAAGTACTTATATAAGTTTCTTGAAAATAAAACGGTAAGACCATTATAAATGTGACATAGCTGATAGCATTTCATTTTATTTTCATTTCATGCATAAGAAAACTCCTTTATGGAGTTTTTTAAGTTTTTTTTTTTTTTTTTATCAGTTTGTGGTAATTACTAGTGCAAGAAAAATGCAAAAAATACAGAAGTACCGGGAAGTAATCCCTGCGTGTTATGTGCTACCATAAAAAATATTTGAAAACAGTGACTCAAAGTAGGAAAACTCTATTTCCTTAATTTAAGTAAAACATTTCTAACATCAGAATAAAATAAGACAAAGGCTCTAAAAATTATTCATTATTTATAACATCCGGAATATACTCATGAAGACTTAATGCTATAAGTCGTGTAAGTAATAGAATCATTTCCTTTAAGTGTAGTGAGCTGTTTATAGGTAAGTAGTCAAATTCCAAGAGATAATTTTATATACATTTGTCAAGACTATATGTGCTTTTTATGTTCTATATAAAACATTTTTTATGCTCAACATTCAAATATTTTCTAATAGTAAATAAAAATACTTTCTCACAATTGAACTCCTTCTATTGTTAAAGATAGCTTAGTACCTTTTGTATTTACAGAGTGAGACACAGGCTGTCTTGACAGATGACTACATTTTCGTGTAATTTCCCCCATACAGTTATTATACCTTTTAGACAAACTAAGTTTAGCTGTGCTCCAATTGACAATAAGATTGAAATCCTCTGAAAGTAAAGTTGATCTCTTATTGTCCTCTCTTATTTTAGTGCCAGGAGTCTTCTTTAGGTTGTGGTTATTACATGTACAGCCTTTAGTCATCCGGCTTTGACTAGTGTGGTATTTTCCACGGATGCATGGACTTTCCATTGCAGTGGGACATACGATATTCTTATGAACAATAGGGGGAAGAAATGTTTGAGATGGTATTTTCCCAAATGATACCATGGGTAAATCTTGAAGATATCTGGGAAAATGTTGGCTAATTTTATATTCATAGGTTAATTTTCTTGAATTTGAATTGTCTAATTGGATAGAGCATAAATTGTCTATTGGTATATTCTCACAGGCATCTTTTGGGCTTTGAGGTGTATTCAATTTATCAAAATTACACTGAGGTATGCTAGGTAAAATTCCAAGTCTATTTTGTTTTAAGACTAATCCAGTACCAGGAATAAAAAGATCTGGTTCTTTCTGCTTTGATAGATGAATGATGTCTCTGTTTGAAACAGATTGATGTGCTCGTCCATTCACTGCTGAATTTTTCCAAGTTAAAGGGTTATATATAACTTGTCCATCAATAGGGCATGAATTGCACTTGTGGAATAGCCAATTGTCAATACATTTCCTGTGAAACTTTAAAAAAAGATAAGCTAATCAGAACTATACTAATCTTGTTTATAATATTATTCAAGTAAATTTCCCCCAGTTTCAAAATTGTATGATTAAAAATATTTAGCAAAATTGAAAAATAATTATTTATCAAGTTTCATGAAAATATTTTGAAGAAGTTCACTTCTATATATAACTGATGTAGGGACTGATTTCCATTTTCTATATTAAAATGCAAAGACTTTTATGGATAGCACTCATAATTTTGTTAAACATTCTCTAAAGCTATTAATTTCACTGCTAATTATTTCTAATGAAAATTATTTTAAAAGTCATAACCAACTGGGGTTGAAAGTGGATCTGATAACAGTAAAATATAAAATAACAAATTAAATTTTTGGAAATAAAACAATTAGCCATTTTAAGTAAGGATGACTCTAAAGCTTTACTACTGAAGCTTTGTTTATTTACTGAAGCAACTTTATTTCAGAAAAAATGTTGGTTATCAACCACTATATAGTTGCTTATCAATTTATATAGTGATCAAGTAGTATTATGCTGATTCCAGTGAGTTCATATGAAATAATAATTGTCAACTTAGGCATTTCTGTTTCATCTTAAGACTCATAAAAATACATAGCAAAATAGTAGTATTCTATAACCTTTTTCTTTCTACAGATAACTAAAGTAGATGAAGGAATCTAACTTAAAGTACCATTTTATCTTTCCTAGATAGTATATACAGAAATGAGTACTAATCAGTATAAACACATCTTCAGGGAGAAAGCTGCCTTCTCAATAGTCTCTGTGGCAGTTCTTTCTAGATGTGCTGTGCCATGTGAACACCTCTGTACAGAGTACAACTCAAAAGTAAAAGGACAGACTTAAATTGCCACTTCATTTGTGAAAATTGACCCTACAGGGAAAGTAAAACTAAAATGATGTGACTTTTACCTTGTGAGTACATGGTAGCAATCTTGTATGTTGACCAAGATGAAATGCCTGCAAACAAAGTAGACACTGGTAGCCTGGAGCAAGAAGCTTACTATTCTTAGTAATCAGTTGGAGAGGCAGTGATCTTACAACGTGTTTTGGTGTGTAAACTTGGCTGAATGAGAAGAAGAGACATGAGTGTTTACATGTTATTATAGATCAGGAAGTGATCAATAGCACAGGGTAGGTAAGTAGTCTCTATATAAATAATGCAATGAACCCTAGGTTTTCTTGAACTAAAGATAATTAATCTCATATATTATAGAGTTAAAAACTCTATTTTATTGATCCTGAACAATATGGATCCAACTTCATAAAGAACAAAGATTGTGGCCAGGCGCAGTGGCTCACACCTGTAATCCCAGCACTTTGGGAGACTGAGGTGGGTGCATTACCTGAGGTCAGGAGTTTGAGACCAGCCTGGCCAACATGGCGAAACCCCATTTCTAATAAAAATACAGAAAAATTAGCCAGGCATGGTGGTGGGTGCCTGTAATCCCAGCTAGTCAAGAGGCTGTGGCAGGAGTATCCCTTAGACCCAGGAGGTGGAAGTTGCAGTGAGCCGAGATCACGCCACTGTACTCCAGCCTGGATGACATAGTGATACTTCACCTCAAAAAAAAAAAAAAAAAAAAAAAAAAAAAAAAAAGTTTTAAGTAGTCGTATCAAATAAAAATGCTAACCCAAAATTTTTGAGTTTGAGTTGCACTTTAAGGTCAATAAAATCAGACCATATACTCAAATTATAATATTTTAGTCTGAGTCAACACTTAGGCAACTGTTTAGAAAAATACAACCCAATTCACTCTGTCTTCTGGTAGGAAGTGAAGTGTATAGTAAGCCACATTAAATATTCCAGGCTACTATAATAAATTGGTAGATCATAAGAGATAATGAAATTTGTTTTCGTTTGGGGTATATTCTTATCACTTCAATATTGTTAGACTCTGTTAATTTAACTCTAAAAGTACCAACTCCATTTTTTGTACCAAAAATACTGACTGACATAACTAAGATGATATACTATGAATTAACTGCTATTTGATGCCATTGCAACTGGTAAAACAGATACAACAAATCTTTAACAGAAAAAAAAAGTTTGGTTAAAAGGTCAGATATGTTCCTGTCATTCAAAAGTCGTTCAGAACAAAGTTCAAATATATTCTTCAGAAAAGTTTGTACTTCTCATTACTCTGCAGATATATCCCCATCATATTATAGAAATTGCTCTTACCAGGGTCATCTAATTTCAATGAAAATGTATATTTTTAGTACTCTTTTAAGGTTGTTACCTACTGTTTCTTATCCTGAAATTCTCTTTATTTATTCCATTTTCTCTGCCTAAAATGTCCTTCTTCCCCTAATGTTCTCCTTCTGAACTCCCTGTCCCCCAATATCTCCTAAGTCCAACCATTAGTTATACAATTTAGCATTCTAACAGGATGAAGTATGATACCTGTGCAGGGAAAATGGAGTTGCAAAGCCTTTGTGTAGGCTCATTTGATGCCCCACAAGAGCTCTAGTCTCCAATGTGTGTGCAGTACCCATGGGCATGGGCTATATATCAGTTGAAGTTTGGATAGAAACTTACATATACGTGTGTATGTGCACGTGTGTGGGGGTATGGGTGTATATACACACACACACACATATATATATTTAGTGAGAACAAGCACATTTTTTGTTTAGTTGATTCACTGAAAGTATTTTTAGTTTCTATTTAATCCCATCCTTTAAAAGTTGTCTCTTTTCTATGTGTTTCATAATGTACACAATCTCTTAATATTATACAACAGGCTACTCCTTTCCCTTCCCTCCCTTCCCTTCCCTTCCCTTCCCTTCCCTTCCTTTCTCTTTCTCTCTTTCTCTCTTTCTCTTTCTTTCTTTCTTCCTTCCTTTCCTTCCTTTCCTTCCTTTCCTTCCTTTCCTTCCTTTCTTTCTTTCTTCCTCTCTTTCTTTTTCTTTCTTTCTTTCTTTCTTTCTTTCTTTCTTTCTTTCTTTCTTTCTTTCTTTCTTTCTTTCTTTCTTTCTTTCTTTCTTTCTTTCTTTCTTTCTTTCATTTTTTGAGATAGAGTCTCACTCTGTTGCCTAGGTTGGAGTACAGTGTTGCCATTTCGTCTCACTGCAACCTCTGGCTCCCAGGTTCAAGCAATTCTCCTGCCTCAGCCTCCCGAGTAGCTGGGATTACAGGTATGTGCCACAACTCCCCACTATTTTTTTTTTTTTTTTTTTGTATTTTTTTAGTAGAGACATGGTTTCACCATGTTGTCCAGGGTGGTCTTGAACTCCTGACCTCAGGTGATCCACCTGCTTTGGTCTACCAAAGTGCTGGGATTACAGGCTTGAGCCACGGCGCCCAGCCTAAATTTTCTGTAATTGAACAGGACTACTGCAAAAGGTCTGGAGACCTCTCCACTAATAATGTTCTGAATCAATGTTCTGAAATAAAACCAATCTGCTCAGCACTCTTCTTCCAACAGGGTGAAGTAGACGGTAGAAAGAGGGAGAACGAAGCAAAGAAACTGGCCTTTTCCCCTAGAGGCCAATTATCTCAAAGGCAAATTTCAAATATATTTGAATCTGCTTTTATTTAAACATAACTGATGTCAGTTTCAATTTTACATTTACGTCGATAATTATTTGATTACTGAGGAAACCACTGTATCCCTAGTATCTAGTATAGTTTCTGGTCAAATTAAAAATAATAGATAACATTATTTGAATATTTATTGTGTGTATTAACTCATTTCATACTCAAAAAATTCCTACAAGGTTGGTTTTAACAATTACTCCCATTTTAAAGATGAGGAAAATGTGGCAGATAGAAGTGAAGTAACTAGTCCACAAGTCACATAGACAATGTGTAGTTGAATTATGATTGGATTCAAGCAGTCTGACTCTACAGCCTTGCTCTTCAATTGGATGGTATAATGCCACCTAGTATCTAAATGCTTAATAGTAATTAAATAATAAATAAGAGAATAAATACAACCTATTCAAATTGAAAAGTTATTCAAAGATTCGGTCATACAAGAAATATAAATTTTACTGGGAACCTCACTCTTGCTTTTCTTGAAAATGTGACATCTTTTCTTCTATCTCATTTTTAGTATCTATGTATTTTACAGCTTCATCTGTTCTTTTTTCTAGTAATCTCCATTTTTGGTTTCTTTTCTGTAATAGGTGAAAAGTAAATGTTACTTTGCAAAGTCATGGATATTTTCATTTTGTGGATAAAAATTAGTAGGTTGCATATCAATGTGAATAATACACAAATTTTTTTTTTGAGACGGAGTCTTACTCTGTTGCCCAGGCTGGAGTGCAGTGGCACATTCTCGGCTCACTGCAAGCTCTACCCCCTGGGTTCATGCCATTCTCCTGTCTCAGCCTCCTGAGTAGCTGGGACTACAGGTGCCCACCACCACGCCTGGCTAAGATCCGCCCACCTCGGCCTCCCAAAGTGCTGGGATTACAGGTGTGAGCCACCACGCCCGGCCAATACACAATATTTTTAAGCATATATATTGTTTTTCAACACGTTAAAGTATTTACAAATTGTTAGTGAGTCTCATACGCTATTGCACAGCTACTATAATGGCATTACTTTTTAAGGTAAAAAATAACAATAATTGTGTATGTTTTATTTTATCCTGTCTGGTAAGTAGAAAGTAGTAGTATTATTCAACATCAGGAGATACTTTTAAAGTGTACGATTTAAATTATCCCAGTAAAATTCCATGTTTCATTATTGTTTATGTAAGGAAATTTAAGAGAAAATCATAAATGTTTTGACTTTTCATTATAAGACAATTTGTAATGTTGACAGCTTTTTAAAAACTAATATTCAAGTTTGATGGCTATATTTTCTGTTCTGAAAATTTATTCATAATGTCATCAGATGTTTCTTATCATGTTAGATTTTATAAATTACCAGTGTAAGAACTGGTTGCTTTGTGCATCCTTATGAAAAAGAGTTCTCCTAAAAATATAGCTTTAGGTTTGTATTAAAAACCAATCAGCTCTGTTCCACAGTGTTATGTTATTCTTCTTATTCTTAGACTGACTTAGCTCTACAACAGGACAAATAGAAACACCGTATTAGATTCAAGATGGATACTGTACCTCACGAAATGTAAACGTGTGGGAAAGATGGCAGCAGCTATCAAAACATTCCTGGCATAAGTGATATTCTATGCACTCGGTACACCTAAAAATACAAAACATCAAAACACGCAAGAAAAAACATCCTATTATTGTGATGGTTTTGGGTGAAAAATTCAGACCAAAACTTCCCGGGAACAATTCAAACATGACAAGGATCATCTCAAGTCACACTGTGTATTAGTTTCCTGTTACTGCTGTAAAAATTTGCTACAAACTTAGCTTAAACTGCACAAATGTATTATCTTACTCTTCCATAGAAGTCTGAGATGAGTTTCAGCGTGCTAAAACCAACGGGTTGGCAGGGCTGTGTTACTTTTAGGGGGCTTTAGGGGAGAATCTATTTCCTTGCTCTTTTTAGGGGGCTTTAGGGGAGAATCTATTTCCTTGCTCTTTCTATCTTCTAGAGCAGGGGTCCCCAACCCCAGGCGCTGACCTGGTCTGTGGCCTGTTTGGAACTGGGACATACAGCAGGAGGTGAATTGTGGGAGAGCAAATCTCCACCTTCTGTCAGATCAGCGGTGGCATCAGATTCTCATAGGAGTGTGAACCCTATTGTGAACTGCGCACATGAGAGATCTAGGTTGTGTGCTCCTTATGAAAATCTAGTACCTGATGGTCTGAGGTGGAACAGTCTCATCCTGAAACCATCCCCCAATAACCCCTGTGGAAAAACTGTCTTCCACAAAACTGGTCGCTGGTGCCAAAATGTTTGAGGACTGCTGTTCTAGAGGCTGCCTACATTTATTAGCTTGTGACCATTTCAAAACAAACAAAGTAGCATCTCTCTGCCTTTCTTCCACAATCACATTTCCCTCTGACTTTCTTGCCTCCCTCTTCTACTTTTAAGAACCTATATGATTACACAAGGCTTATTCAAAGAATCCAGGAGACCTCTTTATTTCAAGGTCAGTGATTAGAAACCTTAATTTCCTCTGCAACCTTAATTCCTCTATGACATATAAGTTCTGGGCATAAGGATGTGGACGTTTTAGGAAGTTTATTATTTTGTCCACCACATGCCCCTTCCATGATGCCTTCTCAGACTACCTTAGCTTTCATTTACCTCTTTCTCTACATTCTTATAGGATCTACACTCTATTAGATATTCTGTCATTTGATTATCCAGTGCTGCTTTCCAGTTGTTTCGTGAGTGCCAGAGTTAGAGTTGGCAGCATACTTCTTGAAAATAAAAATTATATTCTTTTTTTCCCACAGAATGGAAAAAGGTAAACATAAAAGATCTCAGTAAAAACTATTGAGAAGTCAAAAAAAAAAAACCACTTTCCATAAAAGCCCAATCTAAAAGTTATATTGTTTATAAAAATTTTGTCACAAGCAGAGGATTTTAAATTACTTGCAACATAATTTACTAAACTGAAAATATTCTGAGCAGTAATCACGTAAACTTATTATTCAAGTTATCAAATATTTAGAAGATTATTGCCATGAAAAATTTAAGAAAATATGTACCTCAGACATCTTAAAAGAAGCAAATGCTAATTTATTCATTATTACTCTTTGTACATACAGGGAAGATTTTAATAATTAACAGCAATAGGTTGAATAAATGGTGCCATTTATTCAATACATCAAAGTATGCTGGGCTTAAAAAAAGTTAAGCATCTCTGTATTTTAACATATATCTAGTAATTTTGGAATTAACCTCTTAAAAGACGAAGTAGTTAAATTCTGAAATTCTAATGAAGAAGGAATGAAGAAACTTTCTAGTTAATCTTGTCTCCTACTCAATGTGTTCCTAAAAGAAATGGAAATAGTTTTTCAGACTGATGACTGAAATGTCAGTACTTGAGGGAATGGAAGATGGATGGAGTCACAAACATTGAAAATGCATTCTTTAATTTGTAAAAGAGAATGGAGACAGAGACGAGTAATTGTTAGCAAGATCCCTAGAGGAGAAGTTATGAGACAAGAAAAGATTCTCAAAGGAGAGTGTAGGGTCACTAGTGGGCAGATGGCAGGATAGTGGGTCATGTGTTTACTTAGTAGGAATAATAATGCCCAAGGGCAGAAAAAGCAGTCAGAAAGCTCTGAGTGACAGGAGTGTACTGTCATCAACATACCTAAAAGCAAGATTTATACTAAAGTTGTATGTAAACCATTTGGGGAACATTGTAAGCACTAAGAATTTTATACTGTGACCCTCACATGTCCTTGTTCCCCCACATATCCCAGCCCCCTCTTTAACATGTGACCTTAGCCCCTCCCTCACTGGTGCTATCCACCCTTCTTGAGAAAATTTAAATTGCCCATATGACGGCTGCTAATACCGAAGATCAAGTCCTTCCTTTTCCTGGAATCCTCTTTAAACAACATTCCTGAACCTAGCTAAATACCTCTTGCGAAAAGTTTGTAAACATTCTATACTTCCTCCCCAAGTTAGAGTCCTCCCTAGGAGCCTTCTGAGGCCAGCCATTTTCCAGCAGACACTTTTGTGAATAATTAACTTTCTTCTGTGTAACACATACAGAAAACAAAACTAAATTCAAAGGAGATAGGTATAATTTGCTGTTGGATATGATAATGTTTTATGGCTTTATGAATTTTAATATATATATAATTTAAATTGGGCTCATCATAATGTAATTCAAGAAGGCTGAAAAATAAACTGATGCATTTCAAAAAAATGTAACAAGATTGAAATAATGTTTTCTTATTGATGTACTGTTAACTTAAAATTTCAATTAAGAAAATACAATTTCCTAGGCATAGCAATTAATTTATGTTTTATCGTGAGAATTGTGGGAAAGTTTGGGGGTTACTCACAGTGAAAATTGTTTGCTCTAATAATTACTATGTTTTTGTAGTTGTTGTTGAAGTGTAAGATATGAAAGAAAGCAAAATCTGTACTCATTGCAATTTGGAGTAGGGAGGACTGGATTAAATATTCAGTCAATCTAGTCAATGTCCCTCTGGCCCAATCTTTGGAATTTTTAGAACTGACCTCAAAGGTAGTTCAAATAAAGTTACAGAGGGTGAGAGATCCAGCAAGGCTCTGAGCTTGGAAACTCATCTAAGCTAAAGCCACCTATCCTGTGTCCAGAGCTTCTAGGATGGGGTGCTACTTCAGACCCAATCTAGACCAGAGCTCAAAACAATACCCTTGCACAGGAGAAGAAAATAAAATGATTGGAGTTCCTGAGATACTGGACCGAGATAGAGGTCAGTCTGTAAGTCCTAAATAAGCAGTTGTCACACAAGTCAAACAGTATATGCAGGAAGAGGGAAGCTATAGAATGGGTGCTCTAATGCTCAAAGTTTCCTGATGTAAAAAAATAAAAAGAACACATGCTTATAGTTTACAGAGAACACTTACTTATAACACTTCCCCTCAATTGGAAATTGTTTGCAGTTATTACAGGGAATTCCAAGGTGTTTGTCCAGTCTCTCTTTCTCTGCTGCAGTTACAAGTTTGCTAGAGTTTTTGAACTCCTCCAAAATAAGTTTTAATGGTGCAAACTCTTTCCTGCACAGAGGACATTTCAACATGGAAGTGTCTGATGTACTCTGATAATTAGCTAAGATTTTCATGCATTTTATATGAATACTATTGCCACAGCCAAACCTATGAGAGATAAAAATTCAAGTTTATCATTTGTATAGAGCAGTTTTATATATCCATTGTATATATATATATATAACATATATATTTATATAAGTAAAATTTCCTGTGCTACCATCTTTATTCCACATAAAAATAGATTCTGAACTGATTTTCAGCTATAGCTTGATTACATACACACACACACTCACTCACTCTAGTAATCTATCATCTTTAATACATCAAAATTCCAAACTTAAATTTTCCTTCTTTGCAATGAAATGGTGAAAGATTTTGCAACATTAAAATATTTTCATTTGTAAAGTGAGAATGAATATAGGTTTAACACAAGGGAAAATAATAATAATTATTTTAATAAAATGCTTCACTGAGAGCAGGGGTGCCACCATACTTTTCCAGAAGTCACATAATACATGGTAGTACCAAAGAAATAGCTGCTGAGAGAAATATTTTGGAAAGTAGTTAATTTTACAATATGCAATAGAAGCAGACATATGAACAACTACAGTGTGTACAAAAGTTTTGTTAAATTATCAGAAGAAAAAAGAATGATCAGGAGAAAAAGCAATGGCAAATGGCTGTCCAAATTTTTCAAGTTCAACCTTATAGTGCTGTGAAGAAAAGCATGAACATTAGACTCTCAGTAAACATTTCTGCATATCTGAAAATTGAATTATTTAGGTTTAAAGATAGAATTTTGAAAAACTGAAAATAATTTTTGTAATTTCAAAGTAAAATAATCTTTACTTCCAGAGAAGTCTTTATAACTATAATAGGCCATAACATTTATTCATATGTATAAAATAAAAACACAGAAATTACTTCTGTTACTTAAGGTGAGAGGAGGAATAATTGTGGAATTATGCTTCAATTTTTACCCTTATAGTGTAGTTCAGAAAGATTTAGAGTAAGAGCGTATATTTAGCTCACAATATATATACACACACATATATATGTTGTTTCCTAACATATATAATATATATTATAATATATATATAAATATATAATATATATGTGTGTGTGTGTGTGTGTGTTAGGAAACAAAGGAATTTAATTAAGTATAAATTAGCGGCAGGTGAAGTTGTCTATTTTTTCCCTATCATGTCTCCTAAGGTAATAAATCACAAATATGTTTTAGAATTTTTAATTAGTTTTAAGAATCCAAAGAAAAAAATACATCACCGGCAAAAGGTGACAGGAAGCTTTTTCTCTAAAAGTAGCTCTTGACAAATAGAGCAGATATCGTCGGAATCAATTTCCTTCTGTTTAATGTACCCATCTTCTTCAACATGTTCATTGTGGTCATTTGTTCCTGGTTGGGGAGTTTGAACTCGATGTATCCCCCGAAGCAAGTCACTTATCTCTCTTTCTCCAAGACCCAATTGTAAAGCAGCTAGTGAAAAATCCCAAAGTATTAAAATTCAGTCACAAAATTGGAGCTACAGAGAGGTAACAACTTATGCTGAAAGTTAGAATTTTCTTTCAAATATCAGAGAGTTTTGACTGAATTATCACACTGACATTGACCACTTCTTTACATTTTTTTCAGAGCCAAAATGTCAGAAGAGAGTCATATGAAAAAATATAAATTTATTTTTTCTTGTTACTAAAAAAGAGTCAATGCAAACAGTGCACTTGAATATGATAGTGTTCATCTTTGGATTGGTGTTACAATCATGTCTTATACTTTGAGTTGTTCACTTGTCCATAACAAATATTTTATGAACATATAGGAATATTAAAATAAATGGGACATGAATACATAAGGAGGAAACTGATATCTGAGTAGCTACTGTAATTATTTGTTAGATGAATAAGTGAATTAAAAATTAATGGAAGAGCAAGACTTAACTAATTGCGCCTATTTTCTGTTTCTGTTTTGTGTACCTACAAAAGAGTGTCTCATTAGCCTCGTCCTCAACAGATTTGGTCAGCGGTTCTCAGGACAATCTATTAGTTCCTATATTGTCTGCACCATTAGCAGGTGCATTTTTTGAATTCTGAATTTTCTCCATTCTGCAATCCTTAAGAGAATGATGTTCTAAGTGCCTATAGTTTTGATCAGGGAATCCTAGATTCTTTATTCCTTGGCCCATCTCTTTGCTGCTTCCCCCTTCCCTCTCCTACTCCTGAACATGTCATAATTTAAATGCTAGTTGTTATCGGTCCCCTGCCTTCTATTCATTTTATATATCTTTTTACTATATATGAATTAAAAATTATTTCCAAGATAATAAAATGCTCTGCTTTTCTGGAAAGACCCCCCCAACTAAACACTAAAAACACTGAAAACATCACAGTTACATTTCAATACAGAAATCGCCGCCCCCTGTCTGAGGTGGAATGGCAAGTGGAATGTGGGAGGGCATCATACATTAGTTAACCATTACTTTGGGGAAGAAGGGCTATTTGTCACAGAGACACAGCAACATCTGCTCTCTAAAAAAGGAGAGAAAAATAAATAACAAAATATTGTGCTTTGGGGAATAAAGATGCATTGGGTCAGCAGAAATACTGAAGAATAAAATTTCATAAAAGAAGCTGGCAACAAATTGTTCTGTGTGGTAAAATGTGAACTGGAAAATAAAAGGAAGAAACAAACTCTTCTAAAGTGAATTTGGAAAAATTAATGCATAAGATTATACATGAATATTTTGAAAGAGAAGAGCAAGGCAGCTAATCTGAACTGACATCACAATGTGTTGTATAAGTAATAAAGGTAATAATATATGAGATGCTCTAAATAATAAACATTGTTAAACAAAGAGCAAAAGAAGTATTATCTAATAACTGTTACTGAGATAACTGGGTGGCAATATGAAGAAAATTAACTCAAACCAAATACCAACCTCCAACTTATACCAAAACAACTACACACTGATGCTATTATATAATGAAGAACAAAAATAATAAAAAGAGCAGGAAAAAAACCCCAAAGAACTATTGATACTATGGAAGAAAGACAATTTTTAAAGGGTCGAAACAATAAACATGAAAAGAACAGATGATCCGATTTAATAACACAAAAATTCATATGCATAACAAAATTGAATCAAGTCATAGAGAAAAATTTATAGATTAGAAAAACATTTGAAAAAAGTAATGCTTATAATAATTATGTTTGCAGTTTTATCCTAATAAATAGCCAAAATACAATTCACATAAAACACAAATAGTAAACAAGGCAGTGGAAGATGTTCAATTTTATTTGCATCAAAGGCAAATGAGTTGAAATAAGAATAAAGCACAGACACTAAATAAAACTGACTGAATAAACACTATAATAAATGTTATGATTTGTTTGCTTTATGTTATTTCTTACCCTAGAACTTAAAGTATAATAAAAAAGGTATTTGAAGACATTTTAGATCTTCCATAAAGGAATGTTAAATAAATATACCAGAGAATAGAAACTCTTTTCTTATTTAATTTATCAGGCATGGATAGATTACTATGAACCTTGTATCTCGTATTTTTCCTCCTTTGTGTGGCTGGCTTTCTTTCCAAAATTATAGAAATATTACTAACATGGAAAAATATTTCTATGTGTCTTTATTTTCATATTTCTTAAATATGCTGTTAATATCTTTCTTTGTATGCTTAAGTACTACAGGTAAAATGTGCCAATACAGGAATCCAAAAAACAAATAAAGAAATTGACATATTGCTGAAATCACGTAGATCAGCAAAAGTATTCTGACAACATATTTGGCAGTACATATGAGGGGAAGACATAAAAATATAACACTTCTACTCCAAAACACAATACGACTTTAGGCTAAGGAAATAGTTGAAAAGAACAAAAAGCTTTATATACAAAGAATATAACAAGTAGTTAGAAATAAATGCCTAATAGTGGAAGAATGTTAAATTGCTTATAATATACCATATTTAGTGAAATATTAGCTAGCCTTTGATGACTTTTAATGAAAGTCATTATATAGCAGAGATTATATAGCATTGAAAATATAAAGTAGCCGGGCGCAGTGGCTCACGCCTGTAACCCTAGCACTTTGGGAGGCCGAGGAGGGCGGATCACGGGGTCAGGAGATCGAGACCATCCTGGCTAACACGGTGAAACCCCGTTTCTACTAAGAAAAAAAAAATACAAAAAAATTAGCCAGGTGTGGTGGCGGGCGCCTGTAGTACCAGCTACTCAGAAGGCTGAGGCAGGAGAATGGCGTAAACCCGGGAGGCGGAGCTTGAAGTGAGCTGAGATCTTGCCACTGCACTCCAGCCTGGGCGACAGAGCGAGACTCCATCTCAAAAAAAAAAAAAAAAGAAAAAGAAAAGAAAATATAAAGTAACAACGTCTGATAAAAGCAGAACACATAATTCTGACAGAATATTAGGCTGTTTTATGATATATATAAAATCATAAACGGAAAATAGAAAATAAAAAGTTTACATCTTTCTGGTGAGAATTTAGAAAAATTTCCTTTAATGAGGTTTTAATTTTATTCATAAATATTTAATTCCAAAAAGAACAGATAGTATTCACTAGTTATTGTATTTAAAAGGAACTATCAGGTGGTAAATCTAGCTTTTGTTGGGAAAATGTTTGTGAAAAAAAGAATGTTCAGTGTTCAAAAATTAACATTTTTCATAATAAAATTCCCATATAATCATTTTTTGTCGGTCTTTGAAAAGAAAAGAGAGTCTCAGGTTTCTTATATGCAACACTGGAATGTAGATAATTGCTTCCAGATTCCTTTTAGAAAAGAATCTCTGAATGATGTTCAAAACATTCCTCTTCCATTACAAGTAACATTCCCTCCACACTTACTTAAATACTACACATAATCCTAAGGAGTAGTTATTTATAGTTTTCTTTATTTTTCATATATGTTTATTCTAGCCTTAATTAATTAATTAATTAATTTTTTTTTGAGACGGAGTCTTGCTCTGTGCCCCAGGCTGGAGTGCAGTGGCCGGATCTCGGCTCACTGCAAGCTCCGCCTCCCGGGTTCACGTCATTCTCCTGCCTCAGCCTCCCAAGTAGCTGGGACTACAGGCGCCCGCCACCACGCCCGGCTAGTTTTTTGTATTTTTTTAGTAGAGACGGGGTTTCACGGTGTTAGCCAGGATGGTCTCGATCTCCTGACCTTGTGATCCGCCCGCCTCGGCCTCCCAAAGTGCTGGGATTACAGGCTTGAGCCACCGCGCCGCATTCTAAGATCACTAAGACTTACTTTCTTTGAATATTATTACACTCTCTAGTATTATTTTGTACACATGGGATTTTCTCAATGTTTACTAATTAAAATTTCTTTTAAATACAAAAGATATAAAAAATATTTATTTTAGAAGGAAGTATAAATTCTCAAATTATATAGGATTAATTTTAAACATTAAAAAATTCCCTACTGTAGACTGAATGGTTGCTGTCTTCACTAAGTGCAAAGAATAATAATACAATGTAAAATATTAAATTGATCAATACAAAATTGCTGGGCTTGCAGATGAAAGACATTCATATACTAGCAATACATATTTTTCAATTTATAAAAAGCACCCAGCAGAGCTCCTGGCTAATATGTGGTACAATAAATATTTGTTGAATTTAATTGGGTAGAACTACACTGTTGAATATTGTAGCCATTAGCCATAGGTAGCTCTTGTGTACTTGAAATTTGACGAGTGTGACTGACAAAACAAATTTTAAATTTTGTTAAATTAAAAATTTAGTTTTTAACTTAAAGCTGATAATCTATAGTTACAGAAAAATGTATAAGTATGTAACAATTTGGATATGTGAATCTATTTTTCAACTGAAAAGTTTGACGAAGTCTATATACAGATCGAATATTTCCATTGAAAATATAGTGTCAGAGTTGAGATCTACTGTAAGTATAACAAACACGCTAGATTTTGAAGACTTAGTATAAGAAAAGTAAAATAGCTGATAACTTTTATATTGATTACATGCTGACACAATAATATTTTGATGTACTGGGTTAAGTTAAAATACATATTAAAATTACTTCCCTGTTTCTTTTTACTTCTTATAATATGGCTACTAGAAAATTACATATGTATGTTATATCTCTATTGGACAGCCTCAGTATCGAAGCTTGTGAAACTGATATGGAAGAATAGTGTAGAGAATAAGACTTTGGAGAAAGAGTCAACATTTAACTTCAGTGAATACAATGGAGAAGTCAAAAAGAAAACAATATATATAAAATCATACAACCTAGTCGTCATGCATGAAGGGACTGAGAGAGAGGATTAAGAAGAGGCTGACATTTTAGAAAGAATCTGTCTATCTGGAGGGTGAAAGACAAAGTGCAAAATGCAGGCATTGGAAACAAGGAGGCTACTTAGAACTGTACTAAGGGCTGAGGAAAGTGGAACAAAGGTAAGAATGAGTATGGAGAAATAGAAACACTTGAGAAATATGTAGGATGTAAAACAAGCAGGATTTGTGGTATGGGTAGATATATGGCAGAAGAGAATGAGAGAGAAAAAAATCAGAATATCAAGGTTTATAGCTTTGAAGAGAAAATAAAAAGGAAAGCCACTATGTGAGGTAGGGAATCTAAGAGCGGAGCACAGATGGAGAAGTCAGTATTTAAGTTGCCCATGGGACCTCCAAATTGAGCTGCCCCAGAAGGCAACTGGAAATATTGGTCTGCTGGTAAGATTGGGAATCACCGTACAGAGTTAACAGTTGGAGGCATGGAAAATGGGGGACATTTCTAAAAAAATATGTAGAGTGAAAAAAGAGAAAAATCCCTGTGAAACACTAATGGTAATTTATTATCTGGGAGAATTTTAAAAATATGTCTACTGTGATTGTAATTTTATAATAGCTAGGGGGAAATAAACTTGCCTAAATAAAACATTCTTTTTGAATAGAAAAAAAAAAACTAATTATCACTTTAATTATTCATTAATATCAGAAACATTTATTAATACTTTTAAAAATGCAGTTCTTAGATGGGTCTAGTATAGGTCAAACAATTCCTTAACTGCAGTTAACCCTTTCACAATGACAGTATCTTTATTATAAAATGTACAAATTTAAGTGACCTGTATTGCAATTATTTTTCTTTCTCTCTTATTTTTGGGAACTCTGGAATTGAAACTTATACAAATATATAACTGACTCTAAACTCAATTTAAGAACTCACTTAAAAACTACATTTTACTCTGCTTTTGTTTTGCAAAAAAATTTCATTCAGCAAACATTTTTGAGTAAAACAATGTGCCATACCAACAGTCTATTTCTGGGATCTGAAAAAACCACATTCACTGTTTTTCTCACAATTAAAATAATTTTAGACACAGAAACCACTGTAACCTTTTCTTAGAATACATAAATGTTTTTCTACTGAATAACTGGCCATTGTTTCATATCTGTTGTTATTAAGTGCCTATGAGTTTGAAAATGACATATAAAGTTACATTTTTTTAAGATGAAAAATGTTCCAAGTGTCTTAAGTTTAAGAAGCTGAGCTACTGATAGTTACCAGATTTCCTAGAAAAATAACCATCTAAATTTAGAAAATGTTAAATAAAAAAATTCTTATATTTTTAAACTTTAAATTAGTAAAATAAAAACAAAAAACCCAAACCCCAAAACTTACATTCATGGTTCCTTGGAAGCTTGAATTTTTTCAACAAGACCCTAACATTCACAAGTAGAAAAAAAATCGAGACATTTATTTTTGACATAAACTCAAAAGACATTTAAAAATATTTAGAATAGAAATTGAATTATAAGATTTATATTATGGGAAGTGTTATGAATAAACTTAAGACTCATCAATTTTCTCTTATAATAGTTGCTAAGCTTATGTTTTAAAATAAGCATATGTGAAAAAGTATGATTAATGAAAATGACAGCTAGTGTCAAGAGATTTGTCAGACAGAGTCCACATATTTCTTATGACATACAGTTATTCACAGGGAAAGGATAAAGAGGGGATTTAGGTATTTATGATACTGCCTTTAAATTTCTCTGGAAATGGAATAATTTTCTGGATAGTGTACCAAATGGCTGTTTTCCTACATACACTTCTTTAACACATGATAGAAAAAAATACTTAAAAATTTTACCAATTAAAATGGAATGCAACTTTTTTTAAAAAGTGGGAAATACCTATTAAATTATTATTCAATGATACTAAATATACTTTAGTATATGGAACACTGATTATATTTCCATTTACTTAATGGTTACAATATTGCACAACATGAATTATATAATAAAAGAGAATACCTTTCCCCTGACATAAAATGAAAATAGAAAAAAACCCTATTTTAAATATAATCATAATACCAAATTGTAACTTGTGAAAGGACCATATTTTATCTTTATGTCAACTAGAGTAAATAACTTGTGTTACTAGATGCTTAATAAAAACTGAATAAAATAAAAGAGCAAAAAAATAAGTAAAAACATTAGAAATAATTATATAATGTTTTTTACTTGTAAAGACAAGCACTAGAAATGTGAAAGTCATAATCTTTTCTTAATTTCTTATTTTTTCATGTTAACTATCAAATAAATTAAAATAATATTAATAATTTATTAGTATGAGTATAGGTAGGCAAAACAAAAGGAGTTGATTTGTATTTAAATTAAAGCATTTTTTTTTCTTTTCTAGAGGTTAATTACCCTACAAATAGATTATGACACTAGAGGAAAAATTTCAGATTTAATAGACATAATCTTCAGTGGAGTTCTACTTCTATCTTCAAAGATTTATAGTTAAAGTCAACGAAATTAGACACTAGGGAAATGACATCCTATTCAATAAATGGTGCTGGGAAAATTGGCTAGCCATATGCAGAAGAAGGAAAGTGGACTCATAGCTTTCACCATATACAAAAATTAACTCAAGATGGATTAAAGACCTAAATGTGAGACCTTGAACTACAAAAAACTTGGAAAATTGAAGAAAAACTAGGAAACTCTTCCAGACATTGGCCTGGGCAAAGAATTTATGATCAAGTCTTCATAGGCAAACACAACAAAAAGAAAAATAGTTGGATGGACTTAAACTATAAAGCTTCTGCACAGCAAATGAAACAATCAACAGAGTAAACAGAAAACCTAAAGAATGGTAAGAAACATTTACAAACTATGTATTTGACAAAGGGCTAACATCCTGAATTTATAAGAACTGAAATAACTCAACAAGATAAAACCTAATAACCTCATTAAAAAGTGGGCAAAGGACATGAATAGACATTTTTCAAAAGAAGATATACAAGTGGCCAACAAACATATAAAAAAATGCTCAACGTTACTAATCATCAGAGAAATGGAAATTATAACCACAATGAGATAGCATCTTATACATGTCATAATGACTATTATTAAAAAGTCCAAAAACAACAAATGTTGATAAGGACCTGGAGAAAGGGGAATGCTTATATACTGTTGCTAGGAATGTAAATTAGTTTAACCTTTATGAAAAACAGTAGGGAGAGTCCTCAAAAAGCTAAAAATAGAACTACCATGACTCAGCAATCCTATTCCTGGGTATATGTCTACAGGGCAAGAAATAAAATTATATCAAAAAGATGCCTGAACTCATATGTTTATCACAGCACTATTCACAACAGCAAAGATGTGGAATCAACCTAAGTATCCATAATGGTGGGCTAGATACATAAAACGTGGTATATAAATATACCACATTAATAATATGTGTGTGTGTGTGTGTATATATATATAGTGTGTGTGTGTATATATATAATGTAATACAACTCATCCATAAAAATTAATGAAATCATGTCTTTTGTAGCCACATGGATGGGACTGGAGGCCATTATCCTAAGTTAAATAATTCAGAAATAGAAAGTCAATTACTGTATGTTCTCAGTTGTAAGTGAAAGCTAAACAATGGGTCACATGGACATATAGAGTGAAATAAGACATCAGAGACTATAAAAACTGGGAGGTTGGGAAGGGCGTAGAGGCTGAAAAATCACTTATTGGGTACAATGTTCAGTATTGGGGTGATTAGTACACTAAAAGTCCAGACTTCACCACTATGCAATATATGCATGTAAAAAACCTGAACTTGTACCCCCTAAATATATAAAAATAAATGAAAAATTTAAAAGTGATTTATAGTCAAATGTTAATTGAAAAGGAAAATATTTTGAAACTTGACTGCCATAGGCCAATATGGAAAAGGTGAATACTTTCAACCTATGTATACATGTAGAAAATGGAACATTTGATATTCAAGAAAATGTGATCCTGGAAACACAATTTGTTGAAGCACAGCAATATCTCAAATGAACCACATAATTATCATCAGTGATAAGATCAGGATTTCCCCCCCTGTTTTATAGTTAGATTTCACATTCGTACATGAGAATCTAAAATTGATTTTTTTCTATTTAAAAGCATTGACATTATAAAATATTTCCCAATTTAAACGTTATTCAGTTTTCAGAATAAAATGAAATACTGAAAATTTTATTGGTAAGCTATGACCATTTTAACTTTATATTCCCCAAGCACCAAATTTCTTTAATTTTGCTGTTATTCAGACCATGAAAAAGGCAAAATATGTAACACACCAATATGCTCCTTTGTGGAAGATCTTCATGGAAAATCACTTACCAGCAGATATGCTTACAAAGTTCCCCTCCTTTCAGAAATGTGGAACAGTTACAAACATGAGGATCTCCTAGAAAAACCTTTAAAAGAAAAATTCGTACTTTAAAAGATCAGTAAAATTTGAGAGAGCAAAACTGAGTTAATAAAAGAGATTTGAAGAGGTAATTTAGTTTAGGTGATTCAAAAAGGTTGAATAGATTCTATCGGAGAATCTTAACTCTTGATACCAGTCTCTAGGCTGATTTTTCATTCCATTATTTGTCTTTATTAGCAAATTAACAAATTAAGATGGTTTTAAAGTGACCTGCCGTTAAGCAGGTGAAAATAAATCTAATTTCCAAAGTCAAAAGAGAAAAAAAGCATAAATCAACCCGTAAATTCCTTACTGTAAAAATGTTCTCCTTTGGGGTGGAGCTAAGCAGTTTTGTAAGGCAGCTCATTTTGGATTTTTGTTTGATGCATTTGAGTCGGTGAATTTATTTATTCAAGAGGACAAAATTTATTCACCAAGACTAGTTTGGTTAAAACAATCAAATATAGTAAGTATTGAAGCAACAAAGTAAAAAATATGCTTTAAATAAGCACAGACTAGTAAATTGCATTCAACTCTTAAACTGCATGGCCTTAATGTAAAATTTTATAAGTCAAATCCTAGGAGGTAGTGCAGTGGCTGATTTTTGAGTGGTTAAGGGTGGAATACGCAAATATGAAACATCTGTGGTCTTTCAGCAAACTTGAATTTGTATTCATTAATACCTTTCCAAGGTATTGCCATTTAAACCATCCTTTAATAGAGCCTTCATATGATTTCAGAGTGAGCAAAGAGTAAAGGGAAACCTATTTATTTATTTAGAAAATATTTACAGTATGCTAGCAGATCGTAGAATTTTCATTTCGTTTGATTTACATGACTAAAGACCACTAACAACGGATCCAAGAACACATGTAATGCAAACCAGATATTCATATAAAGCCTCTGACATTTTCAAGCCTAAAGATCAAGAGCCATCATCTTTTACAAGAGTTGCAGTTTGAAGTCTTAACCTCCAAAAAAGAAACTTCCAATAAATACTATTTCCTTCTGTAATTTGCACGTCTTTTAGGGTCTGGAACACTCGCGGGGAGACGCTTTCCGGGGTGAGGCAGCAAGTAACCGCAGGGATTGTGATGGTGGCTATGCACATTGGGTATGCCAGGAGGGGAACACGGTGGGCGGGGACGGTGGCGAAGTAGGGGCGGTAGAGGCGGTAGTTACTCGGAAATCCATGTATTCTGGCTCCTCCTCCCTCAGCAGGAAGCCAGTGGGGCCCATCTCTCGTAGGAGGTATATGCTGCTACTCAGTGCCTGGTCTTGGTGCCAGCTGAGCCTCTCACTCAAGTGTCTTCGCCTTTCAGAGGCCTTATAGCCTCGACGAAGCATCCTGGCTAGGTGCGGGCGGAGGCGGCCCCTCTGCTGGGCTCACTAAGGTGCCAGCCGGTCTCCAAGACAACAGCGTGCAGGCTGGTTGCCTTGGTGACGGTGGTTGGGCTCCGCGCTGTCCCGGCGTGCCTTGCGCGGAAGAAGAGCGGGCGACAAAGGTGCGGGATGGCGTGGATTTCGCAACTCGCCCCAGCCTGCACTGCATTTTGAAGCGACGCCCTTGACTGAGGATTATTGTGTTTTTAATAATCATCTGGCCGACTTGGAAGCTGGCGGCCGAAGGCATAGTTGTCCGTTTTCTTGGGTTCTTCTGCTTCCTCGGGGCAGAGATGGTGAAATCTACGTATTAGGACAGTTTCTAACCCAATTGCAGTCTGGGCTCTGGATGCTAAAATTATCCTGTGACGATTCATCATCTTTAACAAAAAGCCAAGGTTACGGAGCCCAGAGTGATTTTTGACGTTCAACAATATTCCACAAACGTTTTCTGATTGCTCACTATGTGCATAGATTGACCGAGTCTCTGGGGGTAGATGTAGAAGACAGGAGTTCTAAACCCTAGGAAGTGCATCATCCGTAGTGGGCCGGCTGTAGTCCCAACTACTTGGGAGGAAGCTAGATCCTTAAGCCATTTCTGTCTCTCTCTCTCTGTCTCTTTCACCCCCCTTATCTCTGTCTCTCCCTTCTCTCTCTCTCTTTCCCTTTGTGTGTGTGTGTGTGTGTGTGTGTGTGTGTTGGAGGGGAAATGGTCTTCCAAGTGAGGGAACATTTTTTAATTGCATATTTGGGTAGGGGTGGGTGTTGGGGATGGTACAGCCAGAATGGTGGATGGTGGTATATCCTGAATGGTGGCACAGAATCCGTTGACTATGGGTACATGAAACTTACAAATCTGTGTACTAAGGAATAAGAGTTTCAAGGTATGCAGTATTTGTACCTCTAATAATTTAAATTGTCTCTGAGCTTTGTTTACCACGTTTTAGGGGAAAAACTGTAATAAAGTATGGATCAACATTTTGAGTCATAATTACTGAAAAAAGAAGCCATATTACTAGAATCTCTATAGGAAATTAAAAGCGGGAGATAGCACTACTTGGAGGCCCAGTAACTTTTGCCTTGGTGGCCAAAGATAGAGGATATTTGTCCTATTTTATCATGGGCAGAAATCATAACTAGATAACGTAAACAGCAGGAACGTTCTCAGAAAATGGCGAAGGCAAAAGATGAAAGAAGATGATGGTAATGGCAGCTTTCACATGTGAGACAACTGGCTAAACATCATCCAACCCTTAAAATCTTAGGTCTGAGGTCTAAGGTTTTAATTTACTAAATCTTATTTTTAATCTCCTATTCTAACTAATAACGACTCACATTCATACTACCATACTCCCAACTTTAGAATCAATTTAATGGTACTAGATGTTAAAGCAATACATTATAACATTAGGAAAAATCCTCACATATCAAGAGCAAAAGAAATTATAAATTGGATTAAATTATTTTACATATTGATATGTATAATTTTAAAAACTCAATAAATTAATGACAATCCATATTTTGCTATATAATATGATGAGTTGGGCTTCAGAGTGAAGACATTTTATTCAACCATCAATTTTTTTCTCTCTCCTTATATATGTGTGTGTACTTATAAAATAAAGTTATTATAGAATTTTTAAAAACACACAGCAAAAATTGTTAAAGCTGTTGTGTTTTAGTTATAGCTAGATGGTGATACTTGTTTACTTGCTCCGTGTATAAGTGATAAACATTTTCGAAGGGTCATATGTTTAAGACACAATAGTCATTATATCAATGGAATATAGGTTCATAAATTCCATTTTGGGAGATGGTAAAAATAACAATGTTTATGCCTTCATAAAAGTTAAAAAGTGAAAGCACAGATTGCTAGACAGAACTTCAGTCTATTTGTAAGACATTTGTTTTGACATCTGTCAGTTATGACTTTAAAAACATTTTTATAGTCAGGTGACTATCCCATATGTTTGCTTCATCTCTTAAGAGTGTACGATAGGTGTAATATTTTGAAAATATTAAAATGGAGAATTAAATATCCTCCTTAAGGTGTATTTTGTGGCATATTGCCCCAGGTGAGAAGGAGGTGGTTACTGCAAAATACAAAGCAGTGGGCCAGGTGTGGTGACTCACACCTGTAATCTCAGCACTTTGGGAGGTCAAGGCTGGGGAATTGCTTGAGCTCAGGAGTTTGAGACCAGTCTGGGCAATATGGCAAAACCCTGTCTCTACAAAAAATACAAAAATTAGCTGGGCTTAGTGATGTATGGCTGTAGTCCCAGCTACTTGGGAGGCTGAGGTATGCAGATCCCTTGAGCCTGAGAGGTGGAGGTTGCAGTGAGCAGAGATTGTGCCGCTGCACTCCAGCCTGGGTGACCAAGTAAGACCCTGTCTCAAAAAATAAATAAATAAATAAAGATAAAAAATTAAAAAAAAATGATAAGCTTGAGTTTCATGGATTGATAAACCTGAGTTTCTTGGATTAATTTTTAGCCTCTTTAGCAATACAATTGGCATGAAAGGCAGGTATTAAAATGTTATAATGGCTCCTGTTAAGACCGAAAAAGCTGAACCTAGAGTATTAGACCTTGGAATTATATGGAAAAGAATGCTCTATGAGGTAGGAAGAAGAGTGACAGAAAGCAGTAGAGGTCAGCTTGCCCGTCTCCAAATGGGCATGTGTGTGTTGGGTTGAGGGTAGAATATATGGAGTAATGGATTGAAACATTGAGATGAGTTTAAGATGACTGAATACCTGGGGCAAATGTGTGTGTATAGCATACTTCTGTAATGGTGTTAGAGAATTTCAGGCTGCTGGGAAACTTGAGCTTTTTGCCATGTCTAACACGTGGCAAGCAATATTCAGAGGTGCTGTGGAAGACAGGTAAATGATCTGGTTCTCAAGGAGTACAAACATGAAATGGATACAAGAGTTTGTGTTTATTTCTAGAGATTAGGCACAAAAGAAAGGCAGAATACCGGTATCTGACAAAGAAGATACAGAATTAATTGACTTCAAGACTGGAAGCAAATAGAACTAAGGATTCCAGAGGGAGGCACCAGCACAACCACCTTAAAAAGCGTAAAAACTCGCAACTCAGTGTTCACTAATGGAACAATTCCGACTGCCCATACTGCAGAAGTGACCAGCAAGAGTCTAGGGGACACTACGTGAATTTAAGGTCGTCATCTTTTGTTATCAAACATGCATTTACAGAGCTTTTATTTCCTCATACACTCATATATCTTTTTGAGATGAAATAGGGAATGAGTGGAAATCTAAAAATCTAGACATTTTATCCTTAATAGTGTTAATGATGGTCCTAGCATTCCACTTAGCTTGACTAAACTTTAGACAGATTTTTTTCTGAGTGTAGATTCTTGACTTCCCTTTTCTTAGAGTATTTACTTCAGAAACCTTGGAATTATAAATTATTTCTCTACCCCTTTAAGATGTAAATATTCTTGCAGCCTCTTGCAGATACGACAACCAGTCATGTCTTTCTCAAGGACCTGGCAGGCATTCTTTGAAATAGAATCATCAATAAAAATAGTGTTGTTGTATCCTAGTCTTTGCAGCAGCATAGAAGCCTAATTTAGATAAGCGCCAATTAGCAAATACAGGTGGCCTAATCACATTGGCCAACCTTCACCCTAAAGTCCTCCAGTACTTTTCCACTAGTTTACCTCTGGGTGCAGCAAACCACCATGGCACGTGTACACCTAGGTAACAAAACTGCATGTTCTGCATATGTGCCCCAGAACTTAAAGTGTAATAATAATAATAAAAACGAAAACTGCCACCTTTTGTTTCAGTAGTCACGTTTAATCTCACTCCCATATTGCAGTAGACTTTAATAAAGTCTTCCTTACTTGTTTAACTCCATTCAGTGCAGTTTTTCTTTGACAGTGAACACCATTTCTCTAAAAGACTATTTGGTAATTAAATCAGGCTAAATTATATTTTGCTAAGTTTTTTTCTTGTGAACAAAGAGAGTGAAGTCTATCAAAAGTGACTGGACCATTTATAGAGAAAATATTTTTAAACTTTTTGTACATGTAAGTGTAATATGAATAAATATATAACCCACTATGAGTGTGATTGGGACTTTAAGATGCCAGACTAAGTAGATAATGTTAGTTTCTCCCCCATTGACTAGCCTAAAAAAAAAAAAATCAGGTTTCAACCTCTGATAATGAAGAGAACTGAAGAGGGCTGAGGTAGGCAGAATTTTCAGAATCACCCCAGTGATTCTGAAAGTTATACAACCCTTACCCTTATATAATTTCTTCCTCTGTGAATATGTAGTGTTATGTGGCAAAAGAGATTTTGCAGATGTAATTGTGGTTAGTAATCAGTTGGCTTTGAGTTAATTAAAAGGGAGATACATTTGGTTGGTCAAATCTGATCTCATGAACTCTTTAAAGGCAGTTTTCTCTGGCTGGTGACAGAAGGAGAAGTCAGAATGGAAGCACATTTTTTTGGGCTAGCTTTGAAGATGGAGGGGGCCATGTGACAGGGAATTATGTGGCCTCTGGAAGAAGAAAGTGGCCTCTGGCTGACCACCAGTAAGGAGCTGGGGTCCTTAGACCTCGAGCAGCAAAGGACTGGATTTTTGGCAGCAACTTGAATGGGCTTGAAAGCAGATTCTTCTACAAAGCTTCCAGAGAAGAGCACAGTCTGGATAACACATTGATTTCAACCTCGTGAGACAGTGAGCAGAGCGCCTAGCTGAGACTGCCTGTACTTCTGACCTATATATCTGTAAACTGGTAAATGGATATTGTTTTAAGTCACTAAATTTGTGATAGTTTCTTTTGCAGCAATAGAAAAAGAATATGGGGTCATTGGCAAATCAATAATTTCAACAACCTACTAGAAGAACAAATATGGATAGAAGAATGCTAACTGATGAAATGGGGAGTAATTGATGGCAAAAACATGGAACAGTTTACATCTCATCTGCCAGCACTGGGTTGGACAATAGAATCACTTTAGCTAGTTTTACTTACAAAGGAATTTACTATAGGATATATGTTAGGCTGTAGGCTGACTAGAAGTGCCCAGTATCAAGCTTTAATTCCACCCTAAAGTGAAGTATTCAGGAAGCTTGTACACTTATACCATGAGATTTTTCCAGTGGAAATTCCTCTGAGTCATTAAAAAAACTGGGGACTAAACATTGTACCTTTATTTTCATTGTTGCAGTGAAAACAAAGGACTTCATAACTGTGATTGCTAGTTGGGCTGTGTGGTCTCAAGAACTCTATTATTGCCTTTTAAGTCCTGGCAGAATACAGTCAGGTATTTACAATCTAAAAGCTAAAAAAAAAAATCTGAGTCGGGCACTGTGGCTCACGCCTGTAATCCCAGCACTTTGGGAGGCTGAGGCGGGCAGATCATGAGGTCAGGAGATCAAGACCATCCTGGCTAACACGGTGAAATCCCGTCTCTACTAAAAATACAAAAAAAATTAGCCGGGCATGGTGGCGGGTGCCTGTAGTCCCAGTTACTCAGGAGGCTGAGGCAGGAGAAGGGTGTGAACCCGGGAGGCGGAGCTTGCAGTGAACCGAGATCGTGCCACTGAACTCCAGCCTGGGCGACAGA